GTGGGCGATCCTCCTTCGTCATGGAACACCCCCCTCCCCCCCCCCCTCCCCATGACAGGCCAGCAGGACGCGGGGGAAGGAGGGAAAGGGGGTGGGTAGGACGTGGGGGACGAGGAGGAGGTAAGTAAAGGAAGCGAGGATATGTCTTCGAGATTTGTCGTTTTGATTTGTGTGTTTTTGTATTATTTTTTTGTCTGTTTGTTTGTTTGTTTGTGTGTGTGTGTGTCTCTTTTTTCGCTGTGTTTGGTTGTCTGTCTACTTGTCTCTCTCTCTCTCTCTCTTTCTTCCCCCCTTTCCCTCTCCCCCTAACCTCTCTCGCTTTCTTCTCCTTCCCTTCTCCCCATCCTCTTCTTCCCCCTACCCCCTTATCTCTCTCCCCCTTTCCTTCTCTTTCCCCCCCTTCCCCCTCCTCCCCCTCCCTCCTCCCTCTTTATCCCTCTCTCTCCCCCCTTCCCTTCCCCTTCCCCCCTACGTCCCAACCTCCCTCTCCCCCCCACGCACCCAGCCCGTTTGTATGCCGATAACGGTAGCGATTATCGGCAATTTATTAGGTACAAATCGGAACTTCAAAAGCGGTTGCATTGCCATTAGAACAATCGTTATCAAGATCCGACGCCAATTTTAAGGGACGGCTGTTTGGGCCGAAACAAGGGGCGGTCTTTTAGTTCTGTGGAAGGGGGTGGGGGTGGGGGGGGGGGTTGGGGGGAGTGGGGGGGATGGGGGGATGGGGATGGGGGGAAGGGATGAGTAGGGGAGGGGGGGGAAAGGGAGGAGTGTGGGAGGGGGTTGGAAGGGAGGTGTGTGGGAGGGGGGGGAAGGGATGAGTGTGTGTGGGGGGGAAGGGATGAGTGTGGAGGGGGGGGTGATGTTGAGGGAAGGTGAGGGGAGGAAAAGGAAGTGAGAGGAGAGAGATGAGGGAAGTGGGGGGGAAGGGGATGAGGGGGGAGAGGGAGAGGTGGGGGGGGGGAGAGGTGAGAGTTGAGGGGGAGAGGTGGGTGGAAGAGGTGAGAGGGAAGGTGAGGAGGTGGGGGGGGGGAGTGAGAGGAGAGGGATGAGGGGGGAAAGGGAAGTAGTGGGAAGGGGATGAGGGGGGGGGGAGAGGTGAGGGGAAGATGAGGGATGATGGTGAGGGGTGAGGGTGGAAAATGAGGGGAGAAGGAATTGGATGAGGGAGGGAAGAGGGAGGTAAGGGAAGGTGAGATAAATGAGTGTGAGGGGAGAGAGATGGGGAAATGAGGGGGGGAGGTAGAGATAAGAGGCGAGGGAGAAGGATAAGAGAGAAGGGTGAAAGATGAGGGGAAAATATGAGAGAGAGAGGGGGGGAGGATGAGGGGAAGGGATGAGATGAAAGTGAGGGGAAAAACTAGGAGTGAGGGGTAAGTGTGAGGGGTAAAAGGGAGGGGAGAGAGGAAGGGGTGAGAGGGAAGGGTGGAAGGGAAGGGTGAAGGGGAGGGGTGAGAGGGGGGGAGAGGGAGCGGGGGAGAGGGAGGGGTGAGAGGGAGGGGGAAATGTGAGGGGTGAGAGGGAGGGGTGATAGGGGGGGGGAGAGGGAGAGGGGAGAGGAATAAGATGAAGGGAAACTGGAGAGAATGAAAGGGAAATGGGACATGCGATAGAAGGGGAAGGGGGAAGCGAGCAAAAGAGGGGAGATAGAGGGGACAGGGCAATTATAGTGTGAATAACCATAAAAGACAATTGGATAGGAAGGTACACCTAGATGCACACACACACACACACACACACACACACACACACACACACACACACACACACACACACACACACACACACACACACACACGCACAGACACACACAGATACCTGCACAAACCTACACACACACACCTACACACACCTATACACACACACACGCACAGACACACACAAACACGCACACTCACACACACACGCACACACATAAACGCACACGAGCACGCACACATATATATTTCTAACACATGATAGACAAAATAAGCATAAAGAGAATTAATAATAACAAAAATAAATGAATATGAAATGAGACAAAAAAGGAGAAAGGGAGGAAGAGAGAGCAAGAGGAGAGGCACAAAGAACGGAGGAAGGTATGAATATGGGAATAAAAGGGAGGTGATAAAAGCGAGGAAAGTAGAATGAATAAAGAGAGAGGAAGGAAGAAAGAGGGAAAGGACAAGGAATGGAGCAAGTGAAAGAAAAGAGAAAAAGAAAAAGACGAAAGGAAATAAGAGAGAATGAAGAGAAACGGAAGGGAAAGAGGAGGAGGAAAGTTAGAGGATGGAAAGGAGGTAATAAAGATGGCGAAAGAGAAATAGAGGAAGGCAAAGAAAGGGGAATGAAAACGAGGAAATTAAAAGTTAGGAAGTGACGTAGAAGAATAAAGAGAGAAAAGAAGAAAAGGGAAAAGGACAAGGAAAATGAAAGGGTGAAAAAGAGAGGAACGGTGAAGAGGGAAGGGAGAAAGAGAGGGAGGGGAGGAAAGGGGAAAAGAGGGGGGGGGGAGAGGAGAAAGGGAGGGGTAATAGAAGGGGAGAGAGAAACAAATGAGCAAGAAGGGAGAAAGAGAAAGAGAAGAGTAAGAGAAGGAAGGAGAGAAAGAGAGAAAGAGAAATAAGAGGGAAAAGAGAAAGAGAGGAGAAAGAGGGAAAAAGAGAAAGGGTTCAGCAAGAGGAAGGAGAGAGAGGAGAAAGAAGAGAAAGAGGAGAGAGAGGAGAGGGAGGAAAGGGAGAAGAGATAGGAGAGAAAGGAGAAAGAGGGGGAAAGGGGGCGAGAGGAGAGGAAGGAGAGGCAGGAGAGAGAGGAGAGAGAGAGGTGAGAGAAGAGAGAGAGAGAGGAGGGACAAGAGAGAGAGGCGAGAGAGGCGAGAGAGGCGAGAGAGGAGAGAGAGGCGAGAGAGGCGAGAGAGGCGAGGGAGGCGAGAGAGACGAGAGAGGCGAGAGAGGAGAGAGAGGCGAGAGAGGCGAGAGAGGCGAGGGAGGCGAGAGAGACGAGAGAGGAGAGAGAGGCGAGAGAGGCGAGAGAGGAGAGAGAGGCGAGGGAGGCGAGAGAGACGAGAGAGGAGAGAGAGGCGAGAGAGGCGAGAGAGGAGAGAGAGGCGAGAGAGGCGAGAGAGGAGAGAGAGGCGAGAGAGGCGAGAGAGGAGAGAGAGGCGAGAGAGGCGAGAGAGGCGAGAGAGGCGAGAGAGGAGAGAGAGGCGAGAGAGGCGAGAGAGGAGAGAGAGGCGAGAGAGGCGAGAGAGGCGAGGGAGGCGAGAGAGACGAGAGAGGCGAGAGAGGAGAGAGAGGCGAGAGAGGCGAGAGAGGCGAGGGAGGCGAGAGAGACGAGAGAGGAGAGAGAGGCGAGAGAGGCGAGAGAGGAGAGAGAGGCGAGGGAGGCGAGAGAGACGAGAGAGGAGAGAGAGGCGAGAGAGGCGAGAGAGGAGAGAGAGGCGAGAGAGGCGAGAGAGGAGAGAGTGGCGAGAGAGGCGAGAGAGGCGAGGGAGCGTGTGCCATTGATCCTCACTTGCGCCTCCCAGACCAAGCTGTTTCGGCCTCACGCATTATGTCGATATCATAACATGCAAATCTTTGTCTCAGGAAGAAACACCCATAATTTTGCTCCGTCAGAGATGCGAGTGATTAAATCAGATGCAGGCGATAGATGCTTGTAACTCCCCCTCCCCCCTCCCCTTTCCCCTCCCTCTCCCTCTTCCCTCTTCCCCCCTCGCTCCTTCCCTCTGCTTCTGCTCACTCCTCTCTTTTATCTACCTGCTCTGATCTCTTCTTCGCTTTCCTTGTCATTCCTTCTCTCTGCTCCGTTCTCCTCCTTTTCTCCCTCTGTGATTATTCTCTGTTCTTTCCTCCTTCATTCTTCTTCTGCCTATTCACCCATTCTCTCTTCCTCCTCTCCTCCTCTCTCTCTCTCTCTGTCCATTCCGTTTCTTTCATTTTTATTGCTTCTTTTATCTTTTGCTCACTTCCCTATTCTCTTCTGCCCCTCTGTCTATGCCCCTATTTTATCCTTCTGCACCTCTCCCTTTTTCTTTCTTTACCCATTTCCCAACCCTTTTCCCTTTCCCTCCTCCTCCTCCTCCTCCTCTTCCTCCTTCTTCTTCTCTTTCTCCTCCCCCTCCTCTTCCTTCTTCTTCTCCTTCTCCTCCCCTCCTCCTCCCTCTCCGTATTCCTCTCCCCCGTCCTTTCCTCTTTTTCCCTCCCCCTCCTACCCTCCTACCCTCCTTCTCCCTTATTTTTCACCACCTCCTCCTCCTCCTCCACCTCCCATTCTTCATCCTCCTACTCTTCCCACTTCCCTATTCCCTTCTTTTCCTACCCATCTCTCCTACCTACTTACACTCCTCCCCCATCCTCTCCTCCTCCTCCTCCTAATCCTTCTCTTCCTCCTTCCCCTCCTCTTCCTACTCCTCGTCTCCTCCTCCTCCTCCTCCCTCCCCTCCCCCTCCTAATCCTCCTCACCTTCCTCCCTCTCCTTCCTCCCTATCCTTCCTCCTCCCTCCTCCTCCTCCCCCTCCCCCTCTTCCTACTCCCCCTCCCCCTCCTAATCCTCCTCCTCCCTCCCCCTCCTCCTCCCTCTCCTCCTCCTCCCTCTCCTCCTCCTCCCTCTCCTCCTCCTCCTCCTCCTCCTCCTCCCCCTCCTTCTCCTCCTCCTCCTCCCCCTCCTCCCCCTCTTCCTCGCACACGCACTAAATGATGATGAAAGCGATGACCATCTCACAAGACACTCCCACACTCGCTTTTGCATTTCTCTTTTTCGTTCTTTCTCTCTTTATTTTGTCTTTTCCTCCAGCAAAAAAGAAAAGAAACAAAGAGAGAGAGAGAGAGAGAGAGAGAGAGAGAGAGAGAGAGAGAGAGAGAGAGAGAGAGAGAGAGAGAGAGAGAGAGAGAGAGAGAGAGAGAGAGAGAGGAGAGAGAGAGAGAGAGAGAGAAAGAGAGAGAGCGTATATATATATATATATATATATATATATATATATATATATATATATATATATATATATATATATATATATA